GATAATACTTAATAGCTTTGCCTGTTGGTATTGCCCACTAGACTGAGGTCCACAAGAATACAGATGTTCTTCACTAACATTTGCTTCAAAGGCTTATAGAACATAGTGTGTCTCTATAAAAACTTATTTGAGGAATTAATCCACTGCGTAAATATGTCATGATTTCTAGAATCACATCAGTGGAATATCAGAGAAAGTGGGCCAATTATGGTTGAACTTCTAGAATGCTTGGGTGATTTTGTTACCAATACTAAGGTGGCTGGATAATCATAATAGCATCCTAGACTAGCTGAGGGTTTTCTAAGGGGCTCTGAGGTTTTAGAGATGATCCTATAGGTCTCCGGACTTCGGGTGTTGTTACCTCAGAGATGATAGGCTGGATATGAGAAGGAGGGATGGTGTCCGTGGGAGAACCCCTCCATATCTTTTTATGTGTGCTCAGGGGCTAGGAGTCATGCCTTGATCTGGGCTTAGCGTAGAGAGAGTTCCACGTACACAATGGAATCAGTTGAGGGGTCCTCAGAATCCTCTGAAGTGGGAGTGATTATTTTCTGTTGGGGAATCCAATGACTCAACTCTGAGTATGTTACCTCTTGTGGGTCTTCTGCTTCATGGTCCTGGAAAGAGGTAAATGGTGAGTAGGGTGTGCATACATTTATGGAAACTAGGAGGGAATAAAACTGCATTGAAGAGGGTGGACTGAGGAAGACCTACCTCCGTATTCACCACTCGGTCCACCTCAGGCTCTCTGTTCAGTATAGTGGCAACTGTAGGGGACAGAAGTTATCAAAATATCTGAGAGGGAACTTCTGGATCCTGATTTCATGGATAGAGATAACAACACTCAGAGAAATGCAGTGGGTACCTGAGATTATTCAGCTTCCAAAAGCAGAGCGAGAAATTCTCTCTCTCTAAATTCAAAAGTCCACCCCATTAATAGCGCCGACTTTCTATCCTATTGATTCTCCAACTTTCTTCCCTACATGACTTCTTCTCCTAGATATCTGTGGCTGCACTGGATGTGAAAAGGATATGGTGGAGAATTAGGCAATGGTCTGTGAGCTGAGGGAAGGGGTCGTGGCACTGGTGCTCTCTCTAGAAAGTTCTATCTCTGTGGTTCCTGCATTGAGCCGGATATCAACCTGCAAACAAGAACCCACACCTCTGCACCCCATTACAGCTCCCTGCTCTGCTAAGATGACATTGGCCTCTTCTTCTTAAGACTTACTCTTTTTGGCGGGGGACCAGCAATGAATAAGGAAGAAAATGAAGATGGCAGGGAGGAGGAAGACCACTGAGAGACCAATCAGAATGTCCAGGTGTCTGAGGTTACCTAGAGGAAGATGTGAATCCAATAATAAGCAAATCATAGCAACTGCCATTTATTGATTCCCTACTGTGTACCCGATAATGACACACAATATCTTTACTTCCACAACACTCCTGAATTGAGCAAATTAAATTTTCCATGAAGAGGAAAAAAGTGAAATTAAGTCCCAAATAATTAAAGCTAGTTGTCTTACGTCATATAGCCAGGAAATGGTGATGAGAAGTTTTACGGATTGAATTATGCCACTTCAAAAGTTATGTGGAAGCCTAACCCCTGGTATCCCTGAACATGACCTTGTTTGGAAATAAGGTCTTTGAATATGTTATCAGTTAAGTTAACATGAGTAATACTGGAGTGGGGTGGAGTCCAATCCAATATGAGTGGTATTCTTATAACAGAAGAGAAGAGACACAGATAGATATAGACAGACGACTAACAGTCATGTGATGATGGAGTTATGCTACAGCTGCAAGCCAAGAAACGCCTGGGCTGCCAGGACCTGGGAGAGACAAGAAAGGATCTTCCCCTACAGACTTTGGAGAGAACATGGCCCTGCCAACACTCTGAATTTGGACTTCAAGCTTCCAGGAATGTGAAACAATAACACTTTTGTTCTTATCAGCTGCTCACTTTGTGGTACTTTGTTACAGCGGACCTAGGAAGCTGTTACAAGAAGTGTAAACCCAGAGCAGCAGAATGCAATGTGCTACCTTTCTTTGGTCTCATGGGGCGTCTATTATGTTGGTGCTCTAATGGAGAACTGCATGAAAAAGGCAATTTACTCCCCCATCTTTTACTGTTCATCCTGTTTACTATTTATGGTAGGCAGAAGAATACCCCCCAAAAGATGTCTATGTCCTAATCCCTGGAACCTCTGAATAGGTTGTATTACATGGCAAGAGGGAGTTTAGATTGCAAGTAGAATTAAACGTGCTATTCAGTTGACGTTAAAATAGGGAGATTATCCTGGATTATTGTGGGCCCAGTGTAATCACAAATGTCCTCAAAAGAGAAAGAAGGAGACAGAAGAAAGTCAGAGAAAGAGATGCGATTATGGATGTAGAGTCAGACTGATGCAATGTAAGAAAGACTTGATTAGCTATTATTGGTTTTGAAGATGGATGAAAAGGGGCAATGAGCTACCCCTAGGTGGGGGTACCTAGATGCGAGTTGCCCCTAGAAGCTAGAAATGGGAAGAAAATGGATCCTCCCCTAGAGTCTCCAGAAAGAACACAGCCCTGCCAACATTTTGATTTTAGCCCAGTGAGATACATTTGGACATTGTTTTACTGTAAGATAATAATAACAGTAATAATACTGAGTTGTTTTAAGCCACTAAGTTTGTGGTTGGTTTAACAACAGAAAAGTCGTGTGTCAGGGTTGTATCCTTTCACCATAATTATTTAGTCTGTAGGCTGAGCAAATAATCTGAGAAGCTGGACTGTATGAAGAAGAATTTGGCATCAGGATTAGAGGAAGACTCATTAACAACCTGTGATATGCAGATGATGCAACCTTGCTTGCTGAAAGCAAAGGGGACTTGAAGCACTTACTGATGAAGATCAAGACTACAGCCTTCCATATGGATTACATCTCAACATACAGAAAACAAAAATCCTCACAACTGGACCAATAAGCAAGATTGTGATAGACAGAGAAAGATTGAAATTGTCAAGGATTTCATCTTACTTGGATCCACAATCAACACCCATGGAAGCCACAGCCAAGAAATCAAATGACATATTGCATTGGGTAAATCTACTGCAAAAGACCTCTTTAAAGTGTTAAAAAGTAAAGATATCACTTTGAGGTCTAAGGTGCGCCTGACCTAAGCCATGATATTTTCAACTGCCTCATATGCATGTGAAAGCTGGACAATAAGTAAGAAAGACCAAAGAAGAATTGATGCCCTTGAATTATGGTGTTGGTGAAGAATGTTGAATATACCACGGACTGCCCGAAGAACAATCAACTCTGTCTTGGAAGACATACAGGCAGAATGCTTCTTAGAAGCGAGGATAGTGAGACTTGGTCTCACATTCTTTGGATGTGTTATCAGGAGGGATCAGTCCTTGGAGGAGGATATCATGCTTGGTAAAGTAGAAGGTCATTAAGAAAGGGGAAGACCCTTAACGAAATGGATTGACACAGTGGCTGCAACAATGGGCTCAAACATAGCAATGATTGTGAGGACAGCACTGGGCTGGGCAGCGTTTCGTTCTGCTCTGAGTTGGAATTGACTCGACGACAACTACCAACATAACAACAGCAACAAATTTGTGATAATTTGTTATAGCAGCAAGAGCAAATGAATATATTATTGCGTAGTGAGCACATGTAACAGTGCTTGAGTGAATAAATTAATGAAGGAGTCATGTACTCAGATGAACTCAGTTCTATCTTATTACAAGGCAATCATTCTATTGAGTACACCAAGGATGAATCCTGAAGGACAAGAACATGTTTCCTGGCAAATGGAACTTCTGTGAGAACCCCCACCCTGGTCCTCCCTTCCTTTTCTTCTCCCAACCCCCGACGACTCTTTTCTTCAGTCAGAAACAGGGCAGAATAAGCATTGCATTGCTCCTGGGAAAGGGGGTCAGGTTTAATTCCACCCTCCTCTTTTGGAGCGGAACTCAGTCACAGAAAATCAGGGATTAAAAATCTCAATGAGCCCCATGCTGGCCACAGCCCCTTTTGTTATTGTAGAATCTGAGGACCAGAGATGGAAGTAGCAGAGCTGGGAAGTAGCAGAGCCAACACTTGAACCCAAGGCTTCTGTCTTCCCAGGCTTCCACAAGCACAGACAAAAGGTCTCCTTTACTCACCGGCTTGATTGCTTGGTTTTGTAGGTGTTGGGGAACTACTTGTAGAGTTTTCTAGGAAACAGGACAAGAGGAAGGTGAGGAGATGAGGCGGTCTGTCTTTTCCCCAAGGAAATCTGGCCATTGTTCCTTTGAGGTTAGTTCATGGCCAATACTCACTTTGTCCATCTAACTCAAGACTCCTGGGAGTACCGGGATACCCTTCCCCAAATCCCCAGAGAGACAACTCTCTCCCTGAGACTTTAAGTGTAGAAAATGAAGAGGAGACGCTGGTGATGAAAGGTACCTGCACTCAAGAGGCGGGGGTGGCGGGGTGTCTCTCCAAAATTGGATGAGTTGTATCTGTACTTGCCTTCTGGGAAATCATTCTCTGTGGGTGAGAGGTCAGGAGGGACTTCTGGGGAATTGGTAGTGGGTGAGAGGCTGATGCTAATTCTGATCTCCCCAAAGTGAGCCCAGCTTCTCCTCCTCCTGGATCTTCACTGACCCATTTTGTCACCCACCTTGATACACACAACCCCAAAGCAGACCTCAAAGAAGAGATGGAGGAGGGATTTATAGCCTTCGTATCTACCACCCTATGCCTGACATCTTCTCATACTCAGCATCTTTTCCTCTCTGTATTTATCTATGCTTATTTCTCTCCAGCATCCTTGGCCTCCCTCATCACGATCTAGGGCTATCCACAGATACATCCTTAAAATTTAGTCTGAGTCACAAGACATGGGGCAGATATAAGACTTCCTCACCTGTGACCAAAAGGTGCAGTGGATCACTTGGGTCTGACCATGCATAGGGAGAGCGGTTAAAAGACCCGTAGCATCTATAGATCCCACCATGGGCTGGGGTCACAGGACCCAGAAGGAAGTCAGCCTGGAATGCACCATTGTGGCTTTGCACTCCATGGAGCCAGTACTCATGGGTGTCCTCCTTTCTGGATAGATGGTAGGTGTCAAATGAGCTCTCTGAGTGGCAGCGCAAGGTCACGTTCTCGCCTGACTTCACCAGAGAGCCCAGCTGCGCAAAGAGAGATGGTTTCTTGTGTAGACCTGCAAGAAAAAGAGGCACTTTAGTCAGAAAGGCTCTCTTTCTCATGATCTCCCTCTCTCTCATCTGTCTCCTTCTGCCTCCAATATTTCTCCTTCTGTCTCTAGTTCCCTCTGTTTCCCCCTCTCTTGGTCTCTGCCCCCATGCCCCTCCTCAATTTCTTTTCTCTCTGGATTTTTGCACTGGCTTCATCTCTCCTTGCATCAGCTCATTTGGTATGTCTTTCTTTTTCTCTCATTCTGAGTCTCTTACTTTCTGTCTCATCCGTATCTTTCTTTCTGTTTCCATGTCTTTCTCTGGTTCTCTGTCTCTCTAGTTCTCTTCTGAGGTCATGCCTCCTGCCCCCCAAATCTCCATCTTTTTTTTTTTTTTTTGTGTGTGTGTGTATTAGTGTCACCCATCCAGGTCTCTGCTATTAAGGGCTGTTATTTGCTCTCCCACATCTTTCTCTCATCGTCTCTATCCCCTTTTCTCTCCACCATTTTCTTTCATTTTCTGTGTGTCTGAATCTCTCTCTCTCCATGGATTTCTGTCTCTCTGTCTCTGCCTGTTGCTGGATGGAATGAATCTCTTTTCTCTTCCTCCTCCTCCTCCTCCTCCTCTCTTTCTAACCACCCTCAGTTTATTCTGTGTATGTGTGTTTCCATGTCCCTGATTTTCAATGATTTACTTTCTCTCTCATTGGGTCTCCACGTGGACTTCTGGCCTTAATAATCCTGTAACACCTAGGGTTACCTTAGTACATGGACCCGAGGAGCCAGTCTGGGGACCCACAGAACACACACAGACCACAGGGACTGGTGTTAGGCTCCTTCACTTAGGACCAATATCCTGGGTCATTATGGCTCAACCATGTAGAAGGAAGATTTATCAGAAAACACAGTATCTGTAGGTCTCCCATGGGTGGAGGTCAGCCTGGGGTAGTCCAACTGACCCTGCATCTCAAGTCAGATATGTGACTTGTCTTTGGGTTCTCCTGGTAGAGGAAAGAGTGTAGAGTGAAAATGGGAAACCAAATTTCTAAATCACTCCTGGTCTCTAGACAGAGTGAGAGGGAAAGGGTACTCTCTCCATATGTAGGCCTCTCTGTTTGTATCGTCTCATCTTTCTCTTTATCTCCATTTCTGATTCCCCCTGTTTCTGCTCCTGTGTGTGTACTTTATGCCATAACAAATTAGCTGTATTTGTTTCTCCTCTTTCTTTGACTCTGTTGGTACCTTTATCTCTCACCAGGTCTTTCTCTCTCAATAAAAACCCCGTTCTCATCTCTCTCACCATCACCTGGGACTTCCAACCCTTAGAAGAGTCAATCTGTATGCCATAGAGCGTAGGAGAGGGGAACAGGTCTGGGAAATCTTACCTGTGATCACAAGCTTCAGGGGGTCACTGGGGACCGACCACTCATAGGGGGAGTGACTGAGAGAACCGTAGCATCTATAAGTCCCCACATGGGCAAGTGTCATAGAACCCAAGGAGAAGTCAGCCTGGGAGCCGCCACCATGGAGTCTCCCAGTAAGGCGCAAGGGATCCTTGGTTTCCTCCCCTTTGTATAGTATGTAGGTGTCAAACATGATCTTTGAGCAGCACTGCAGGGTTGCATTCTCTCCCAATTTCACCAGGGGATCTGGCTGGGCCAAGAGAGAGGGTTTTCTGTACACACCTAAGAGCAAAGAGGTTGTGAATTTAAAAAGAGTAACCCTTCCTCAGTCTACTCCACGGGACCTGAAATAATGAGGACCACTCTCCAGTGCCCATATTTCTCCTTCCTCTGTGTCTCTGTGTATGTTCCTCTCTGTCTCCCATCCTTTATGTACAGCTGACCCTCATTATTTGTGTATTTTGAATCTGTGAACTCATGTACTCACTAAAATTTATGTGTAACACCCAAATCAATACTTGGGGTGCTTTAGTGGTCCTTTGCAGACATGCACAGAGTAGCAAAAAATTTGAGTCACATGTCATACACATCTAAGCTGATGTCAAACAAGGGAGACTCTGCCTACTTTTAAAAAAATTTATTTTGTTGCTGTTGTTGAGAATATACATAGCAAAACATACACTAATTCAACCATTTCTACATGAACAATTCATCGACATTGATTACGTTCTTGGAGTTGTGCAACTCTTCTCACCTTCCTTCTTTGAGTTATTCTTCCCCCATTAACATAAACTCACTGCCCCCTAAGTTTCCTTCTAATCTTTTAAGTTGCTGTTGTCACTCTGATCCCATATAGATAGTTCTTAAAAGAGTATAATGCTCAAGGCATATATTCTTTACTAGTTTAGCTAAACTATTGTTTGGTTTTAAGACTTCAGGGGATATTTTTGGTTTAAGTTTTAAAGAGTCTCTCAGGGTAATAGTTTCAGGGGTTCATCCAGCCCTCATGGCTCCATAAAGTCTGAAGCTCAGAAGAGTTTGAAATTCTGTTCTGCATCACCCCCCCACTTTGATCAAAGATTCTTCTATAAAATCTTTGATCAAAATGTTCAATATTGGTAGCTGAGCACCATCCAGTTCTTCTGGTCTCTTGGCAAAGGAGGTGGCTGTTCATGGAGGCAATTAGCAACACATTCTATATCTGCCTCCAGTTCCTGACTCTCCTTCGTCCTCTATTGCTCCAGGTGAATAGAGACCGGTTGTCATGAGGCACTACCTTTTTGTTTCAGCTCTCATACTGTACACAAGTGTCCTTTCTGTGGTAATTTTGCTGTTTAAAATGGCTGCCAAGCTTAGTGCTGAAGTGCTGTCTAGTGTTCCTAAGCACAAGAAGGCTGTGATGTGCCTTATGGAAAAAATACACGTGTTAGACAAGCTTCTTTCAGGCATGAGTTATAGTGTTGTTGGCTATGAGTTCGATCTTTCTCATTGTGCATTGTGTTGACACTCACTTTCCTGCTTCCCTCTTTCACTTACAAGGACGCTGTGATTACACTGGCTCCATTAGAATAATCCAGGATAATCTCCCTATCTCAAGGTCAGCTAATTATCGGTCTTAATATCATCTTCAACCTCATTTCCCTATTTCCACATTTACACATATTCATAGGTTCCAGGAATTAGGACGTGTATACCTTTGGGAGGTCGTTCTTCTGTATACCACCATACTCAATTCCCTGTATTAAATCCCTGTTTACCTAAAATATCTACAGTTGTTTCTATTGTTCTGATTGAATCCCAATTGTCACTCCCGCTGGAAAAGTCTGAGATTAATGGGATCAGGACACTAAAAAGTTACCATGGACAGGAGATCTTACCTGTAACCACGATCTCCAGAGGGTCACTGGGTGCTGACCGTGTAGAGAAGTTATGATAAAAATCATGACATCTGTAGATTCCAGCATGTGCTGGGGTCACAGGGCCTATGATGAAATTTTTCCCAGACCGTGTATTCTGGAACTTAGAGACGAGGGGCCCATGTTCCTTGTACACCCTCAACAGGGTAAACCTAAAATGAGACTGACACCGAAGTTTCACATGTTGTCCTTGAGGAACCACATGACTTGGCGAGGCAGTCAGGGTGGGCTTCTTGTGATCACCTGGGTGAGAAGAAGTCACAGCCTTAGGAAAATGTGGAGTTTGTCCTCCCGTCACTGTGCTCAGAGGCTCCTCCTTCTTTCTGATTGTCTAAAGATTCTTTCTCAAACCTGGGATGCCCAGAACTACCATGAAGACTTCCCAACACCAAATAGGTATGACACATGTTCCTGCAACAAAAATGTTGATGGGGGATTTTGAGCAAGTACTGAATAATGAACTCTTACTAGATGTTGATAAGACAAAATTAGGTCTATAGAACAACACAATGAGCACGTGTAATAACCAAAATCAAACCAAACCTATTGCCGTCAAGTCAATTCCAACTCACAGAGACCCTATAGGACAGAGTAGAACTGCCCCATAGGGTTTCCAGGGAGTCGCAGGTGAATTTGAACTGCCGACCTTTTCGTTAGCAGCTGTGGCTCTTAACCACTGCACCACCAGGGCTTCACACATGGAATAGAAGAGTAAAATCTATGTGGATGAAATAACATCAGCTAACAGATGAAACCCATTAAACAACTGAAGCTGGATCAGAATAATCTGCAATTTCAGAGGTCCATTACATATGGCTCTCCCACCTCTTCTGATAGGAGGATAGCAGCGACATTCTGCAGCTCTTACTGTCATGGAAAGGTGGAGAACATGACAGGTTTGTTTTTCCTAGCACTGGTTCTTCCCTTCTCTTTACAGTCCTAGTCTCTGAGCTTCACAGTGTCTTCCAGATGTCCATAGATATTAGCTCATCCAAGGAGAAGAGTGCTGGAAGGTTTCCTGAGCATAACTGAAGCCTGGCGTTCCCAGAGCTCTGACTTTCTCGTTCACAAGTGATCCACTCATAAGGCTTCCCATAGTCAACCCATCGGCTAAATCTCCTATGCTGTCTGACCTCCTGCTATGGGAAAATCCTTTTATTTGGAGTTGGAAGGCAACCTAAATTTTTGGGGAAGGACTCACCCACTTCTGCCCAGATCCTCTTGTCCATAAAGAATCCTGGAAAGAAAGAACCATGACGGTTGATCCATTTCCACACAAAACCTGGCCTCCCACTACAGCCCCATCTGGTCCAAGTGAGGGACGTGCTTGGTTGAAGGTAAACTTTACTCTCAACGTCCACCCCACCTCGATGCGAGCGGAGCTCTTTCCTGTGGGGACACTAAGCCTTCAGGTCAGTATTTCCCACCATAACGTTCCCTCCCTTTCATTCCCTTCTAGGACTTACCAAGACACACCAGGCCAATGAATGTGGGGGACATGGTGCTGCCTGTGCTGTACAGGAGGCCCCAACCCAGCAAAACTGACAAAAGCACAGGATGTCTTTAGAGAGCCCCAGCTCATTCAGTTTGCAAATTGACCACACAAGGGAAGGCACAGAATGCAGTCTCTTCTAACTTTACATAATGCTGGGGGTGATGGCCTGACCAAGGAAAGAATCAACTTCCTGGAAAATTTTTAGAGCTACGGCTTCACTTTTTATACTAACGGCAGACTTGAACCGCATGTCCAACCCAAGCTCTCATACACACAATGATCAAATTCTATACTCACATTAAAGGCCTTTGATGTGTTCTGTTGATTTGATCTGAGCTTTGAAATCTTCTTTATGTGTAATAGGCAACTTATTTAATATAATATTGCTGTTAATATTATAATAACAATCATAGCATCTAAATCAAAGTGATTTTCCCAATCCTAACTGGCATTTCTAGTATTGACCAAGAGTCCATTAAAATTTAAAAAATTTTTCTGTAGACAGATTATGCAGTTCTTTAGAATCAGACTTCTACTTTATTAGCAAAGAAGAATACACGTAAATTCTGGATCTTGTAGTTTTATCTGAATTAATCCAATGATCCAGAGTTCAAACTCAAAGTTATTTCATTCTCTCACAATTGTAGAAAATTTAAATTTTGTAGAACATAATAGTATAGGAAATTACTTATACAATAGCCAAATAAGAATTAAAAAAAAAAAATTCAAAACTGAATACCTCCCATCTTGAAACCAACTTGAAACCCAAATAACCTACATATTCTACCCTCATCCTGTCACCCCCACCATCCTGAAATTAGTATAAAATTTTCCAGTATGCATTGTAGATATAGTTTTATCACATTTATTATCTATTTATAAACATAATTTTTCTAAATATAACAATATATTTACATATCATATGTAAACACATATACATCCATATATATAGTTGTTTTAAATGTTTAAAAATTATAAACTTTTTGGTTTCAAGTTTATATTACTATAATACATCAGTATCAATATTTATATCTCTAATTCTTTTGAATTGCAATATAATACTTCATGGCATGAATGTATCAACGTGTACTTATCTATTCTGCTTACTATCAGCATAGTGCTGTTTCCATGTTTTCAATTTTATGAACAATGCCTCTATAATCATTCTTTTACTTAATCCTGTATATAAATATATATACACACGCAGGGCTCTTCAGACACTTATTCATAGGAATGGAATTATTCGTTCTTGGGACAAGTTGATGTTCTCCTTTACCAGATAGTGTCAAACAATTCTCAATGTGACTTTACCCACGAAATGATGCTGAGAGAGCAATGTTTATCAATTTTACCGCTTCTTCTAATAAACATACTTTTTATTGGTTTTATCTATTTATCCATTATTTTTTCTTTGTGTCATTTTATTTCCTTTCTTCTACTTCCTTTGGGATTAATTTTATTAATTTTTTACTTCCTAAAGTAGAATCTTAGATATTATTTAGACATATTTTCTTTTCTAACATAAACGTTTGAAGCCACAAATTGTTCCTTGTAACACAGTTTTATCTGTATCACACATCTTTGATATGGTGTGTTTTCATTTTTATTCAGTACAAGATATTTTATAATTTTCTTTGTCGTTTTTCTTTCTTTGACTCATTGGTTATTTAGATGTGAGTTCATTAATTTCTAAATATTTGATGACTTTCCAGATATCGCCTTGTCATTTATTTCTAATTTAATTCA